TCCGCGCGTTCCTCTCGCCGTGTTCGCGCGCCGTTCCGGTGTAGCATGAAAATCTGTCTCCTATGAGGATCTGTCCCCCTCGACGTATCTGCGCATGTGCCAGTTTCAGGCATTAGCAGCCGATCGGCGATCTCCGGCACATGCGCAGATACGTCGAGGGGGACAGATCCTCATAGGAGACAGATTTTCATGCTACATCGGTCTTCAGGGCGGACTGTGAGAGGAGCCTAGCGGGAGCCTAGCGGGAGCCTAGCTCCGCGGGCCGGATTAAAAGGTCTGCCGGGCCGTAGTTTGCCCATTGCTGGGCTAGACAATGGCACCCTGAGTGCCATTGGGTATCGGGATGAAATCCTTGGACCCATTGTCAGAACTTACGCTGGTGCAGTGGGTTCTGGGTTCTTCCTGGTGCACAATAATGCCCGGCCTCATATAATGAGAGTATGCAGGCAGTTCTTGGAGGACGAAGGAATTGATACCACTGAATGGCCCCCACGCTTGCCTGACCTAAATCCAATAGAACACCTCTGGGATATCCTGTTTTGGTCCATCCGAAGCCGTCAGGTTGCACCTCAAACTGTCCAGGAGCTCAGCGATGCCCTGGTCCAGATCTGGGCGGAAATACCCAAGGACACAATCTGTTGTCTGATTAGAAGCATGCCCCAACGTTGTCAGGTATGTATACAAGCATGTGGGGGGCCATACAAACTACTGAGTACCATTTGGAATTGCTGCAATTAAATTTCAGCAAAATGGACTAGCCTGCTGCATCATTATTTCACTTTGATGGAAATAAAAATTATCAACCTACAGAGGACTGAATTCAAAGACACCCCGAAAATCAAACGATGGGGCATCTTCTGTTCCTAACACATTACCTAGTCCATATTAGTATAGATATCCAGCATGATATTTTTCCCCATTCAGATGTGTTATGTTTTCAAAGTATTCCTTTTAATTTTTTTTGAGCAGTGTACATTAAAATCATTATTAGTGGATACATACATGGCAAAAATTTATAAGAATTTCTGCTAAATTCCTACTAACTATAAAAGTTAAAACTGTATTGAGTGAATAAATATTTGTACATTTTGAATTGCGCCTTTTTGTGAAATGATAAAAAACTGCACAAAACAAATTAAAAACCATTTACTCAAAATCTGGAGGTTGCCATTTTTTTTCCGCTTACAGTTTCAGAATTTGAAAGGACTCCCCTAATCATACATTTCCTGAAAGCACATGACCTGTAGAATAAAAAGAAGTGCTACTGATTTTTTTTTTTTTTTTTTTAAGGCAGCGCTGTAGTTATGCAAATGTTCATCAAATTGAAATCTTCACTAAAATTACACTAAAATCATTATTGGTGCACAGAAAACACAACCTAATTTTAAGAAAATTCCTGCTAAATTGCTACTAAGGCCTCGTTCGTATGCGGTGTACTAAAATGTATGCTGTGGAGGGCAGTGTTTACCTGCATGGAGATGCCCAGGTGTTCTGTGCAGGCAGTCCCATTCATGTCAATTGGGATGCAATGGCTGCTGTTCCCAATCGCACAGGACCCTGGATGCAGACATTGTGAGCTCAGGGACATGCACCCAGACCCACATGGATATTAAATTGGGAGCAATGTCTGTGTTTGTGCAGTTGCTACATCCAAAATAATGTCAATGGAACTGCCTGCACAAGGATGCATGGAACACCTGTGCTGGTAAACACTGCCTTGCAGGGCTTACGCTGTGTATGCCAAGGTCTTATTATGATTTTTTTATGGTTTGTTTTTTTTCGGGTGGCGGCTTTGGTGAGATAGCAGAGGTCTAAAACAGACCCCTTCTGTCTTTTTTTGGGATAGAGAAAGTGTCTGAAGACGGTCCCTTTCTCTGCAGCCTCAGCTGCACAATACATGAATGAATGAGGGGTCTGTATAGAGCCTCCTTTACATTAACCAATTCAATACCGGGCAACTTTACACCTTCCTGCCCAGGCCAGTTTTCAGGTTTCAGCGCTCTCACACTTTGAATGACAATTGCGCAGTCATACAACATTGTACCCAAACTAAAATTTTATCATTTTCTTCACACAACTAGAGCTTTCTTTTGGTGGTATTTAATCGCCACTGGGGTTTTTATTTTTTGCTAAATTAACAAAAAAGACCAAAAATTTTGAAACAAAAAGTTTTTCTTTGTTTCTGTTATAAAAGTTTGAAAATAAATAATTGTTCTTCATAAATTTAGGCCGAGATGTATTCTACTACATGTCTTTGGTGAAAATAACCCAAATTAGGATGTATTATTTAGTTTGTAGGAAAGTTATAGAGTTCACAAACTATGGTATAGATCTGAATATTGATCAATCCTGAAGTACTATGGGATAAAAGTAAAGCAAGCGCTCAAAAATCAGCTGCTGGAACACTCCAAGGAATCACTGGACCTCATAACAAGAATAATATATATATAGTGCAGCGCTGTAATGCTAATAGGAATATAAGTGAGATAAAATAAAAGTTCATATAGTCCTTTTATACAACAAAAGGTGATCGCAAACGAAAAACGTGAAGACCTCCTCATCATTAGATGACTGGAATCAAATAGAAAAAATGCGCACTCACCGACCGCGCATTTTAAATGCGCATGTATGCAGTTTTATCCAGATAATCGGCCAGGCATGCGGATCAGCAAAACACATAGGTCATCCCTCTCAGGTAACGACTTCCAAGCACCTGGAACAAGCCAGTGGGAGAGGCAGAGGAGGGAAGCCGGCAGCTGCAGGGGATCAGGTATGCAAGATCATGCATGGGGGGAGGGGATTGGTGCTGCAGGCGGTGAAATCTTTCACTGAATTTTTTAGCTGTGGTTTGAGTAAGTAGTGACTTTTTTTCCTTCAATTCTTTATATATTCTTAAAGGTGTACAATTGTTTTATACAGAAGTTACATCAAACTATGATGCCATTGCCAGTACAACATATTTTTTTTTTGTACCAAAAACAATATATAGACCACAATGATGAGGTAGGGTTTGTGTGTGACGATGGATGATTGATAAACAAGATGATGTACTAGTTAAGATTTTAAATACAGTCTAAGAAAAGATTGTGCATATAGGTTACATGAACTAACGTACACAAATTGTTAAAATTTTATTATAAAAATAAAAAAATATACAGTTACACACTTGTAATGCACAAACAACATTATCCTACAAGTAACACAACTGGAAGAATGCCTACACGAATTCAAGTACAACCCTTGCCAAATCTGGTTGGTTATAGAGTGGGGAAGGGTTAAGCTGGCCACACGCTAGCAGAATTTAATCCATTTTTTTTGTTTTCCGCAAAAAGGGTAACAGACATCTCCATAGTTATAAATCCGGTATCATTTCAAAAGAGATAAACACAGGATAACAATACCATGAGGTACATGACAAATGGTTTTATTTTTAAAAGTGTTTGTTTTGTTTTCTAGTTGGTACTGGGGCCAAATTGACCACATTGGTGAGAAAATTCAAAGCAGGAGGATGGGGAATTTTTCTGAAACAAATGAAATTCTTCTAACAATGGATGTGGTTTTCATTCAGGAAAATACTGTACATTCATTTCAAAATCAATGTTACAAGCAAACAAAAGTTTGAAGTACTTTTCAAATGACATTCATCAGGTCATCAAATGTACTGAGAATTTTCATGTGAATGGTCGTAAGAAAATATATTAATGTATAACCAGCTTTTGTCAAATTTTATTGCCCTCCTATGTACCTGTGCTAAGTTTTATTTTCTCTACTCCTTGTCCCAGTAACCCCACACTGATGAATTTTCACTTCAGGAAATGAAAATAAAAATCTGAAGAGTATCTATTCACTCATTTGCAAATTAAAAAAAAGTACATAGAGTGTCAGTTTAATGACTAATTAAATGTGGCACAAAGTTAAATTCATCCACTGAGTATCTCTTTCAGGCCTTGGGAAAATTTAGTGTGTGGACCTGACTGAGAGACATGTTGGTATGTGAAGTCAAGTGGATTGAGCTTCCTAAAACATGTAAATGGCCGTTGTGTTCCCAACAGTAATACTAGGTTGCAGTAGCATAAGCCTTTAATCATTTTCACTCTCTGGTGAACTGTGACTGTGTTTGTATTACGCAGACACAGTCTATCTGTTCATATCCTGTTACCAGCTTGCATAGGTATTTCAGATTTACCAAAGAAGCAAGATGGGAGGGAAAGAGATAATTGTACAATAAACGCAAATACAAAAAAAAAAATTATTTGCACTCATTAACCATACATTTAAAAAAAATACTATAATACAAAAACAGAAAACCGCAAAATGAGAAAACACACCTTTTTACATTACATACGCAAAACAACAGATCTGTCTTAAAAATACAGCATGCAAATTGGGGGGGGTACTCCCTTTCTTGCACATTTAACCCATAAACTACATAAAGAATCTACATTCTTGAATATGGATCGTAGTTCTGCACTATAGGGGCTATTCAGTCTTTAGGTTTACAGATTATGCATCTTTTAGGAGATGCACTACACTTTTTTTCAGTAAACTGTAACTAGTATGATGCAGAACATATTAAAATATTTAAAAATGGAGGTGTACAGCAGTCATTACATTCATGTTAAGGTAATGGTTATTTCTGTCAATGAACCTCCTAATCTCATGCACACAGAACAGAGTAAAAAATTCACCTAAAGTCGAGTTTTGCAAACACATTTATGTACATTATGAGTTTAGCTGTTCATTCAATTGGCTAGAACATTAATATATTCTGGCCGTTGGAATTAACGCTCAAATGCCAAACAAGCCTAGAGTTCAGGCGTGTCTAGCCTTCTTTTTCACCAAAACACTTGCTGAATGTGTGTGCAAGGACACATAGGCTAACATAAAGGGGTGTATATAGAAACATTAAAAAAAAAAAAAGCTCTTTTTTTATGTCCTGTGTGAATGAGGCCTAAATCATAAAATAAAAACCTGCTTTGTGTGTACTTAGATTCACAACATTATTTACTCTCCCTTGTCAAAATAACAAGAAAGGGTAAGTCAGTGTTACCCAGATATATCTGTCCTTGATGCTCATACACATCGCTGATTGCCCATGTCACACTTCCATCCGGATCATGAAAACTGTCCACTATTTCTCCGTTTTGGTTCACTTCCAGGAACAAGCCGTGTTTTCTCAGCAGAAAGCTGTACGCTGCCAATGGTGTCACCTACAAAATTTTCATGAACAGCAGTATTAAATGGAGAATCTAATTAAGGGGTTTCCACTACTCCACAGTCCAACCTGTGTGTGTTTCAGTAAATTGGCATTAACTATGTAGTTACAGGTACTATCCTAGCAGCACATCAGGTTTATTTTTCTAAGGTAAAATGACATATCTCATTTAAAAAAAGATTTTCCACCCTCTAGAAAGCAAAATTATTTTTGTATATACTTTGTACCCATGAATATTCCAAATGTTCTCTTTCAATAGAAGCTCTTGGCTCATTTTTTAAGTCTGGGTTTCAGTGTCCATTTTCGGTCATCCATCCTAAAGATTTGTGTTTAGATACGTAAGACAATTATTAGCCTAACCTAATTTTAATATGTTTTATGTATAACAAGTAAAGTCTGTAATTACAGTATCTCCCAGAAGTAAGTCCACCCCTCACATTTTTGTAAATATTTTATTCTATCTTTTCATGTGACAACACTGAAGAAATGACACTTTGCTACAATGTAAAGTAGTGAGTGTACAGCTTGTATAACAGTGTCAGTTTGCTGCCCCCTCATAATAACTCAACACACAGCCATTAATGTCTAAACCGCTGGCAACAAAAGTGAGTACACCCCTAGAGTGAAAATGTCCAAATTGGGCCCAGTTAGCCTTTTTCCCTCCCCGGTGTCATGTGGGAGCAGGTGTGTTAAATTTGGTGTTATCACTCTCACTCTCTCATACTGGTTACTGGAAGTTCAACATGGGCACCTCATGGCAAAGAACTCTCTGAGGATCTGAAAAAAAAAAGAATTGTTGCTCTACATAAAGAGGGCCTAGGCTATAAGAAGATTGCTAAGACCCTGAAACTGAATTGCAGCACGGTGGCCAAGACCATGCAGCGGTCTAGATTCAAGAGAGCCAGGCATTTTACAGCTGAGATTTCTGCCGGTCCATTGACTTAAAAAAAATCACACTGTAATTATTTTAATATCAAGAGAGTCTTATACTTACCAAATGGTTAGACATTCCAATTGTTCTAATATCAATTCATGTTTGTATGAAACCATGTATTGTCATTATTTTCTGTAGGTGTGTGCTACAAAATACAGTGCATTCATAAAGTATTCAGACCCCGTTCAGTTTTTTCAATTTTGTTATGTTGTAGCCTGATACTACAGTTACTACAGTTGTTTTCACTTTGTTTTGTTGTTTTCACTGTCATTAAGGGGTACTGAGTGTAGATTCATGAGGAAAAAATGAATTTAAACAACTGAGTGTTAGGTTGCAACAGAACAAAATTGGAAAAGTGAAGGGGGTCTGAATACTTTATGAATGCACTGTACATCTCCATACCTAGCAGATTACTAACCGTACAATGTCATTTTTAAATATATCTGAACAGTTGGAGTATGAATGTGCACACAAACAACATGCAAATTCCTTTATCTGAATTTGGATTGTGAGGTCAGAGTAACACAAGTTTAAAAACCTAAAGCGATTCTATCCATACCTTGACAATGAATCTCTTTAGTGCAGGGTAGGGTGCAATTGCATCCAGGAATGGTGGAAAGAATCCAGGAAACCGTGTTGTTGTCAAGCCGACTTTATATGTACCCATGCTAGAGATCCTGATGTTATCTGGATAGCCTGGCAAATTGTCCACAAAAACTTCTTTCATGCCAGCCTTGCTGCCAGATAACCAATAGCTATGTGGACAGAAAGAAAAAATGCATTATGACAAGCTGTGTAAAGAAAAGAATGCACTTTCATTGCAGGAAAGTAAAAAAAAAAACATTAACGTTTCAAAAAAGGTTGTTTGGGCATTGTCCAGATGGCTTTAGGTCAGTGGTGTATCAACCATGGGTGTAAATTTTCCAATGCACATGGGTACCAAGGAGGATGGGGCACACTGAGCTCTCACACCCTCTATAGCCATGGATGATACAAGCCTGTGGCACTGCAGTCACACCAGTCACTGGCTACTGTGTCACTCCAGTCACAGACGATCTGTGTGTTACGAGTTGCAGTCACACATAGATCCTATAGCTGGAGCTATATGCAACTGTAGGGGTCGGTTCGGCATCTCTGGAGGGGGTGGGGCGTGATGTCATTGGAGCCTGGAAGAAAGGAAATCTCCCTTGCTGATCTGCCTGATGTGGGGGGGGGGGGGGGGAAATTGTAGTAGGCAAGAACTAACTGGGGGTGAGGGGGGGATTGTAGTGGGCACAGACTAACTGGGATGGAGGGGGAATTGTACCAGGCACAGAATAACTAACAGACTAACCTGGAGAGGATTGTACTGGGGATGCATTCAGATTGACCCAGGGGGGGGGATATATTGTACTGGAGAGCATATTGACCCTGGGGGAGCATTGCACTGGTGGCCAGGCAGGGAGGGATTCCTTCATCCACCTAATTTGTGTGGATAGAGGGATCTGTTAGTTTTCTTTTGTTCAGCATGCTGGCTGAACAAAAAAAAAAAAAAAAAAAAAAGGAGTGTGTATGGCCAGATTTTCAGACTCCTGCTCTATATACACTGTATTGTACATTACATAATCTGCACTATATACACACTATATTGTATATTACACACTCCATTGCTATATACACTGTATTGTACATTACATACTCAGCACTATATACACACTATATTGTATATTACACACTCCGTTGCTATATACACTGTATTGTACATTACATAAATCTGCACTATATACACACTATATTGTATATTACACACTCCGTTGCTATATACACTGTATTGTACATTACATAATCTGCACTATATACACTATATTGTATATTACACACTCCATTGCTATATACACTGTATTGTACATTACATACTCAGCACTATATACACACTATATTGTATATTACACACTCCGTTGCTATATACACTGTATTGTACATTACATAATCTGCACTATATACACACTATATTGTATATTACACACTCCGTTGCTATATACACTGTATTGTACATTACATAATCTGCACTATATACACACTATATTGTATATTACACACTCCTTTGCTATATACACTGTATTGTACATTACATACTCAGCACTATATACACACTATATTGTATATTACACACTCCGTTGCTATATACACTGTATTGTACATTACATAATCTGCACTATATACACACTATATTGTATATTACACACTCCGTTGCTATATACACTGTATTGTACATTACATAATCTGCACTATATACACACTATATTGTATATTACACACTCCGTTGCTATATACACTGTATTGTACATTACATAATCTGCACTATATACACACTATATTGTATATTACACACTCCGTTGCTATATACACTGTATTGTACATTACATAATCTGCACTATATACACTATATTGTATATTACACACTCCATTGCTATATACACTGTATTGTACATTACATACTCAGCACTATATACACACTATATTGTATATTACACACTCCGTTGCTATATACACTGTATTGTACATTACATAATCTGCACTATATACACACTATATTGTATATTACACACTCCGTTGCTATATACACTGTATTGTACATTACATAATCTGCACTATATACACACTATATTGTATATTACACACTCCTTTGCTATATACACTGTATTGTACATTACATACTCAGCACTATATACACTATATTGTATATTACACACTCCTTTGCTATATACACTGTATTGTACATTACATACTCAGCACTATATACACTATACTGCACATTACAAACTCCTTTTTATTCTAGTGATGTTCTGTAAGGCAGGTTCAGAAAAAGTCTTAGCTCTCTGACTATTTTCACTGTACACAAAAATCATATGTAAACGGCAGTGTTGCATCTTAAAAACTGATTGTGCTGAGGTTTATGCATGTCTGTGAGAATCTTACATATGGCACACCTATCTGAGCATATTGTATGGGTACAAGGTTTTTTGTTTTACTTAACCCTAACCCAAACCTTTTAGAATACTAGCAACAACCCTGGCAAAAAGAAAACCATGCCCATCTCTTTGCTGCTTTGCACTAAACACACCATGTTTTTTTTTTTTTTTTTTTTTTTTTTTAAATCAAGCAATAGGGCCCAACTTATGATCTTGCACACAGGTCCACTGATTTCATAAAACACCCCGGATTTAGGTATAGCCAGGCCTTAACAGTACAGAAATAACTGCTTTAAAAAACATGTTTCGCCTTCCAACACCTGGTAAAGGATTTTCTTAAACATTATGTAAGCAATCCTGCTTTTTGTGATATCAGAAAAACAGCCTCTCATGGCATTCAACATTGGGCAGTATCTTTATATATTTGATGTTATTTTATGAATTGAAAATGCATTCAGATTCTTCCTTTTAATTCTAGCCATCACTAGAGAAATGACAGATGGACCCTGATGCTAATTTCTTAAAGTCAATAAATAATGTCATGCTGTATAAGCCATAGCTAGTACCTAACACAACATACCGCAGTATTCTGGCTATGCTGGTCTCCGCTATTAATAAATAGTCTTCCTCTGGTGATAAGGCCAGCCCGTTAGCCATATACAGGTCTTCCAGCAATGTCTTTGCCTCTTTCTTCACTATATCATAATGTATGAGTCTTCCACGGTGATTTGTTTCTAATACCTAAATTATCAATGAGAGCAAAAAGAAAAAGATACATCTACTATGAAACAAGTGCTACGTAAATTGCACCATTCTAGGAGTGGCCTCTTACATTTATCCACTAAAGGTATAATACAATAATTGATTGTCATCTATCTTTGCATGCAGGACCAGCAAAAATACTTTGAAAAGCCTTTTGTCATGTTTCACTCTATCAAACAATGACCTGTTTCTTTGAGACAAAATGATCACTCAGGCTAGGTTCACACTATATGCAGGTGCAGGAGTGTGTGTAATCACCTGCTTTCCCGCAATGTGTTGCTGTTAAAGAGAAATGGTGTGTGTGTGTGGGGGGGGGGGGGTGCCATTAATTCCTAATGGCAACTCCACAAACTGGAAACCACATAGTACATACAGTTTCCCTGCGAGGCAAGGGCCTTTTCCCTGCGCTAACTTAGGCACAGCAGCCATTCATCTGAATAGGCTGCTGTGTCTGCACAAGTGTGACTACAGGGAAACCGGCATATTATGAGCCAAGCCTCAGGGTTTCTGTAAGGCACAAACATGCAGTGTTGTAGGATACACTTTATCTGTGTTGTAAATAAAGTGGATCATTACAGTAATCTGAACATTTCTAAATATCCAACTGCCTCCCTGTTACTACTGTGTTACTATGGGTCACCATTTAGCCTCACTGCTTAAACCAGATACTGCTCACAAACAGTGGTCTGGGCTAGGAGATGAAGACTAAAAGGGTTAGTTCACCTTTAATGTTACATTTTACAAAACAATCCTTAAATATTACAGCTTTCTCAGTACATTTATATGCATGTGCAAAACTCATAAAGAAGATCTGGATGCCTCAGATTCTTTATAACCTCCATAATGTCCCCATATGGACAAATAGCAGGTGGATGCACGCACTCTGTTATTACAAAGATCCATATGTTTATTGCAAAAAAGCCCAAATAGCAAGTGTTGTCTATGTGGACATTTTTTATTTTTTCGATAAACTTATAGATCTTAGTAGTAACAGAGTGCGGTCATCTACCTGTTAACTGTCCATGTTCTGGGGCACGAGCCGGACCAGAACCTGTGCTTTTAGGGTTAGAGAGAAGTGGAAAGGCCTGGAGCAGTGTATAGTGTTTTGAATGCCCCCATAAGATTAACCAAATGCTGATTTAAAATTACAGATACCTTACTTCTGTTAAAGATGTCAAGCTATAATTTTGTTAGAACACTACTTTGGAATATTCGCTATACAAACATGGGATATTATCTTACAAAACATTCCTTAGGCATTGATGGCCCAGTCATTGTCGGTGTTCCCTACTCTCCCCTGCAGCAGCTGCTCATTGACATAGGGGAGCCGGAGCAGATGGATCATGTGACTAGACTGTATTAAAAATAGGTAAGTGCAGAGATCTTTTAATACAAGGGCATGCAGGATAGGTGGGAGGAAGTTAAGATTGATTAGAGTTAGCCTTTTCTTACACTTTACAATTCAAACTAAAGCTGCAATAACAATACTTTTATGTGTCAGCACTAAAAGGTCAGCTTACCTCATATCTGTGATGTTGTCTACCCCATTTGCTGCTCGAGTCTGTGAAAAATATAGTGCCATTTTTGGACAGCTCAAGTCCATTCAAGAATTTGAACGGTATTCCATCCACCCCTGCAAAGACGTGTGTACTACTTTAAAGGATTCATTTTTTTATTTACATAACTCTAACAAACCTGCCCACATCATCAGCATAATTTTTATTTCCTAATAAGTGCATGCTACTGACAGTCAAAGTGTTAGTTGTGAATTAGTTGTAAAGTTGATTCCAATAGCTTTTACTTAGTAGGTTAGTTTTAGCTAAAGCCATCTTCATAATAAATGAAGAAACAGCCTATACAAATCTCAGAATAACTAAAATCCTGACTAGTATATATCCACACACACATACCTGCACACCACAGTCTGTTTTTTAGTTTTGCCTCCTAGTTACCTTCTTTGTTAGAGATGAGTAGTTCTTTTTCTCCAGTCTGTGGATGTATCCTGAACAATCCAAAATAGGAATCGGCTACAATTAGATATCCATTACTGTCTAATCGTACTCCATGTGGACGTCCACACACTGGCTCATACTCAGGAATGCCTGCAAGGAAAAGAAACATTTGCACTTAGCGTTAAAGTATTGGTATTCTAATTATGAGTGACATGAAAGAAGATATTCTTGAAACCAACAGCTGCCACCCTCTTTAAGTGCATATCCCAGCTACACAGTGATCATGACCAGAAATGAAAAGTAGTAGTGTTTTTTTTTTTTTTTTTTTTGTAAAGAGCATCTTAAAGAACCAAGTAATGTAAAAAAAAAAAAAAAACACACTGCAATTGTTCTAAAATAATAATTTAATTTACTGCTAATCTGCATCATGCCTAAAGTAGGACTACAGCCTTCTATGACGGAGAAGTGGGTGGAACAGAAGGCACGTTGAGTAGTTTTTAAGCCCCTTTGCTAAAGGGGTTCTTTTATTGAAGGATTTACAAAACAAGGGTTTTTGGCAAAGGGATATATTCATAGGACAGCAATCACAGAAAAACAAGGTCACAGGCAGTAACAGAGCACAGCAGATAAGTTCAGAGTGGCAACCTGGTACAGAAATTAAGTAAGTCCAGGAGCCTAAAGCAGCACTCGGGAACAGTAAGGCTAAATCCAGAGTCACTGTGACAGCAGTCTGAGATGCGGCGAAGGTTAATCTGGAGAAGCCACAGGAAACAATACAGAATAGCAAGGGATATATCCAGAGGGGACAGGAATGGCAGGGCCAACAGCAACAGGATACAACAAAGATAATATTGGAAGCTTCTAGGTCACAGGAGGGGAGAGGCACAGCAGAGTGGTCTCATGTGGCCTGGCCTAACTCAGGGTCAATACAGGCATCACATCACAGGAGGGGGTACACAGCAGTAAGATTTTGTGTGGCCTGGCATCAACTCAAGGTTGAGGCAGGTAGCACATCATAGGAAGGGAACACAGCAAGAGAGTACATACAGGGCAGCAGATCATAGGATTTTAATGTGGCCTGGCCTCAACTCAGGGTCCTAGCAGGTAGTACATCATAGAACATAAACACAGCATGAAGGCACTCAAAGGGCAGATCACAGGGTCTTTGTGTGGCCTGGCCTCAATCTGGGTCCATGCAGGTAGCACATCGCAGGAGAAGAAACAAAACAGGAAGGTCTTGTGTGGCCTGGCCACAATGTAAGCGTCTATGCAGGAAGCACATCACAGGCAGGGAACACAACAAAAAGGTACAAAAAAGGTGAAACAGAATCACCAGGGTACAGCTCCTGTGCACCCAGCCACTGTTCAGAGTGAACACAGGCTGCAAGTTTGCAGGGCAGCAGGGTCCAACTGGAAACAGGAGTCTTCCAGGTCTAGGGAGGCAAGGGGGTCATCCACAGACAATCAGCATTGCAGATGAAGAGAGTGGGAAGCAGGGAGCCTCAGCTGAAGAATCAGAGGATCCTGGGGTTTGTGGAAGGTCTGTGTGTCCTATCTGCAGTCAAGGGCAAGGTCATTACAGCAAAGGAAGAAAGCAAAAAGGTCAGGGTTGAAGATCACAGAGTGCTTGAGGGCCTGTGTGGCCTGGCTGCAGCCCAGGTCCACACAGTCAGCAACATGATCCAGAAGTAGCATGGAAGTAAAACATGGGAGAAGGGTACAGGGTCCTGGGGAAGTACCTCACAACCCCCTTTCCCCACTCAAATATTTAATGCTTGGCATTGGGTGCCCTGGCAAAATTATCCTCCCATTTCTGCCCCAGCCACAACAAGAGCCACGGAGACAGTGCAGCACAGGAGGAAGAATATCTACAGTTAGCACTTCCGCCTGGCAGTACTAGGGTCGTTGGTTTGAATCCTAGCCAAGGCACCACCTGCCTGGAGTTTGCATGTTCTCCCTGTGCCTGCGTGGGTTTCCTCCAGGTACTCCGGTTTCCGCCCACACTCCAAAGACATGCTGGTAGGTTAATTGGATCCTGTCTAAATTGGCCCTAGTATGTGTATGTATGAATGTAAGTTAGGGACCTTAGATTGTACACCCCTTGAGGGTTAGGGACTGATGTGAATGTACAATATATATGTAAAGCACTGCATAAATTGACGGCGCTATATAAGTACCTGAAATAAATAAATCTACAGCCTGCATGTGATAACTTCACATGCAGCCCACAGCAGGGAGAAAGACTGCTGTGCTCCTTACATGCAGGTGTAGTGGTGGAATCTATGTGCAGGCACCAGGACCAAAGAACAGCAGTGGGCTAAATCTTCTCTTGCTCCATTTATGTAGTGTGGGGTGGCGGTAGATGTTCAGGAAGCAAGGGAACAGGATGCAGCACTTAATTATAAGTACATCTGCGATTTCAGTTACAGTTGTGTTCAAAATAATAGCAGTCAGACATCACTAACCTGATCAATCACTGTTTTTGGTAGAAATGATATTTCTACATGGCAAATAATTTATTAGCAGGTGTAGTAGAGTAATAGAAATCCAACAGACCCAACAGTCATGACATGCATGCTGCTGATTCTGTGTAATTGAATCACTAATTGAAAGGGGCATGTTCAAAATAATAGCAGTGTGGAGTTCTATTAGTGAGGTCATTCATTCTTTGAAAAACAGGTGGCAATTATTGCCCTTATTTAAGGAAGGAAGGCAGCAAATGTTGTACATGCTGGTTACAGTGCATTTCTCTCTGAAATTCTGAGGAAAATGGGTCGTTCCAGACATTGTTCAGAAGAACAGCGTACCTTGATTAAAAAGTTGATTGGAGAGGGGAAAACATATAAAGAAGTGCAGAAAATGATAGGCTGCTCAGCTAAATGATCGCAAATGCTTTAAAATGGCAACCAAAACCTGAAAGACGTGGAAGAAAGCGAAAAACTACCATTCGAATGAATAGAGGAATAGCCAAAATGGCAAAGACTCAGCCAACAATCAGCTCCAGTAAGATCAAAGAAGATCTAAAGTTACCTGTGAGTACTGTTACAATTAGAAGACGCCTATGTGAAGCCAAGCTATCTGCAAGAAGCCCCCGGAAAGTCCTACTGTTGAAAAAGAAGACATGTGCTGAAGAGGTTACAATTTGCCAAAGAGCACATTGACTGGCCTAAAGAGAAATGGCACAACATTTTTTGGACTGATGAAAGTAAGATTGTTCTTTTTGGGACTAGTGGCCGGAGACAGTTTGTCAGACGACCCCCAAACACTGAATTCAAGCCACAGTACACTGTGAAGACAGTGAAGCATGGTTGCACAAGCATCATGATATGGGGATGTTTCTCATACTACGGTGTTGGGCCTATTTATCGCATACCAGGGATCATGGATCAGTTTGAATACATCAGAATACTTGAAGAGGTCATGCTGCCTTATGCTGAAGAGGAAATGCCCTTGAAATGGGTGTTCCAACAAGACAACGACCCCAAACACACCAGTAAACCTGCAACATCTTGGTTCCAGACCAACAAGATTGACGTTATGGAGTGGCCAGCCCAATCCCTGGATCTTAATCCAATAGAAAACTTGTGGGGTGACATCAAAAATGCAGTTTCTGAGGCAAAACCAAGAAATAGAGAAGAACTGTGGAATGTAGTCCAATCATCCTGGGCTGGAATACCTGTTCACAGGTGCCAGAAGTTGGTTGACTCCATGCAACACAGATGTACAGCAGTTCTCAGAAACAGTGCTTATACAACTAAATATTAAGTGATTCAAAGGAAAGCAAAATCTTCAAACATTTTTCAGTTTATATAGTGAATGTTTGAGTTTGTAAAGAAGAATACAAACACTGCTATTTTTTTGAACAGTCTAATATTCACTTTTCTTCAATTTTTTTAGAGGAACAACACAAGTTTGATATATTTTTCTTCATGTTTTGATTTGGAATAGAATGTGTAGTGTTCCCAATGCATTTGTATGTATGGAAATAAAAGCTATTAGAAGGATTTTGAGCTTTGTTCACTTTTTTCAACACACTGCTATTATTTTGAACACAACTGTATATTGTAGTCTCCCCCTGAAAACCCCTTCAAATACCTTTTGAGCTTGCCAGTGAAATTCCCAGAGGTTGCTGGCCACTCCAGATTCACAGAGCCACACGTACAGACACAGACTCATTTATTCATTCAGAATTATTATGTGTTGATACATTGATCTGAGGAGCCTTGCTACTGGAATAATATATGTATTTGGGTTGGTGCACTTGATACAATGTATTTTTTGATGAAGTCTGCCATTTTCCAAAATATCTGTTAATAATGTGTCTTTGTTAGTGATGAGCCTGTGCCTGATACATGTCACTGTGCATCAGTGTAATTCTGGAATTTAAGAACCATCCACCTAGCTGGTCGATTGGTCTTATTGGTCACAAGTGTTAGCTGTGAAGTCCTGATATAGGAGCAGATTTCAGCTTGCGATCCTCACCCTCCAGATGGACTGAAGCACGTTAGTCTTCTGTGAGCTAGGTGGAAGAGTTTGCAAATTAAAGAGTTCACTAAACTCAAAAAAGGCTTTTTATTGGTGAACTTCCTATGATGGTGTTGCAACAATGCTGCACTGATCCTGAATTCAGAGCAGAGTTGTTATCCACCTTTAGGGTGTGCCTGCCTGTTCTACAAAGGAATGAGAAGATTTTGTATGGAGCATAGTTATTGTCACTGGTGATTCAGAAGCCTGCAGCTTGTCGTTCAGCACCTGGCACAATATAGCCCTGCCCTTTGCTTTATGGATTTCTCTGCTGCTCAAACCCTACCATTGTGAACTGCAGTGCCTGGAACAAGAGCATGTAATACACAAAATGGAAGAGGATCTGACTCCTTCAGGGAGGTAAAGGATCTTTTTTTTTTTACTTCATGAGATGTGTGTATTACATAGTAACTGGCTTTGTGACTTTAAATCATTACATACATCATCATGTGTTTCCCAGTCTTACTGGTTGACATTCCATTCTGTTACCACATCAGTATGTGCTGAGCAACTTCTTGTGGCTCAATGTGTGTGATTGAGGCTGCAGCAGACTCAAAAAGAAAACAGTGGACACATACCTACACTGTCATAGACTGCAAATCAGATGAGATACCAGCATCTACAGTGAACTGTATAAAGGGAGAG